CTACGTGCACAAGCTGAAAAAGCGATCGCAGCAATACCTGTGCTAATATGTGCAACTAAAAGATAGGTTTGTTTTCTGCTAGCAGACTGCTAAGCATTACTATCGTCAGAAAGTTATGTGTTTTTACATCGACAACCATTCTAAAGATTAAATTTTTAATAAAATTATGAGTAGTATGTACATATTTTACTCAGGCATAATCATTTTAAAAACGCAATAAAATACATTGGATACTGTGTACTTCTTAGAGTTTTTAGATGGGGCCTGATCCTCTAAGCATATTGTATGAACGTGTGTACATACTGTGTTAACACGCCGGTATGGGGCTAATGGAGCTCTCTGATTGATCAGAGGAGGTCTGTCCGTCTGTGTTGACTACATTGCAAACTAAATAAAACATATCTCGTATCACACAGTACACGGACTTGTCTTGAAGTAATACTCAAGCGCTTATTCGCTATGCGCCTATGTCAGGTGGCGCCGTCGAGTGAGAGAAATTGTCCCTCGCTAAAATCGCCAGAATGCATAGAGCCTTACAGGAAAACTTTTTAATAAGTTAAAAAAAAGTTTATTAAGAATGGATTGACCAAATGAATCAGTGATTTAAGTGTATATTATGTTAGTGTACAGTAATAAATTTTGTTTGGTGTTGTCATGTGTACTATAAGATTGGAAACAATAAAACCATTAACTGCGACTGTGATAACACAGTGTATATGAGTGCATATATATGCTTGCACTTATGTGGAGCTTGATAAAAACAAATATTACTTACTTGCTTCCATTTATGTATTTCTCACAACACAATGTTCAATAAAAGTAAATACTAATGACAGGTTAGGTTAACTTTTACACATTTATACTACGTTTCCATGGATTACTTGTGTTTTTTTAGCTTTACACAAGTGTAAGCATGTATATGCACTCAAATATGCTGTGTTCTCATAGTCGCAATCCATATTTTCATTTTTTCCAATCTTGTAGTACACATGGCAACACCAAACAAAACTTATTACTGTACACTAACATAAGACACACTCAAATCACTGATTCATTTGGTCAATTCACTCTTAATGACCTTCTTTTTAACTTATTAAAAAATTTTCATATAAGACTCCATGCATTCTGGCGATCTTAGCGAGGGACAATTTCTCTCACTCAATGGCGCCACCTGATATAGGCACATAGCGAATAGTGCTTGTAGACTTGTAGTACAAATTTTGTCTTTAGATATTCACATAGAATTGTACCACTTGAGACATTGTATTAATTTGTGGTATAATAAACACAGAACCTTTCGTGTATCTATATCGAGGTGCTGTGTTCCTATAGGTATCAAGCACATGTCGCGAATATTGCCTTCGGCTGTGCCCGACCAATAATTCTCGTTTTTCCCTAGGTGGCGCTGCTTCAAAATTGTGCACGTATAGCGAACTGCGTAACTTCTACAGTTCTATACCATGCCACACCACAGACTGACGATACGTTACTATTTACTTATGCATTGTAACGTGACGCCAAGTTAGGGCGTGGCGTGGTGTAAAAGTTACGCAATACCCCCCCTCCGCAGGCTACGATCAAGGCCTAGCCAGGGTATATGTGTGTGTGTATAATAAGATATATCTACTGTACCGTCCCGATCAGGAACCTTAGTGGGGTGCTGATGGGTCCACACTAGGCTGCCAAATTAACCACATGTGGTCCTAGAATGGCATCGTCACGGGGCGTAGATGTGGTCCTCTCTAGTGTGCCCTCATGGGAAAGAAAGTTTACCTAATAACCCTTTGTATTTTTTGTGTAGGTACATCATTACATTCAATACAATTATCATAAGAGCATGTGCCTGATTTACCATGCGTGCTATGCAGATTATGGAGTTTATCGGCCGTGCAGATAAGGAAGAATTAAATTACGGTCACTTATATTTAAGGTAGTTGTACAGGTACCGCAAGAGTCATGAAACTTTTAGATTGATGTAGTAGAACGATCTGGCAACATCGCTTTACGGTCATGTGTGTGTGCCTGTAAGTGTGTGTTCAGAGCATCATAGAAAGAGCACTTCGTTGATCAGCTGTAGCAAAAGGAGAAGCGTGTGTATCTTTTTTTTAGTCAATAAAATAGTCATGCCCAAAGAAAAAAATAAGAAGCTTTTTTGGAAAGGTGTAAGGGTAAGCGAGAAAGTATATAATGCACGAGTAACTAAAAATAATAAAGTTAAAAATAGGCTATTTAATTATTTAAAAAATAAATATTAAATATTTATTACATAAATATTAATTTATAACATGTTTATTTCATTTTTAAGTAATATATGGCAATAAAATTGTTTTGATGTTCTTTGTATATCAGTTCGTTTTATTATTTATATATTTATTTATCATATTTATTTAAAATATACGTCCTATAACAATAATTGAAAATCTATAAGAGAGATTGCAGTAATCAGGATTTACGAGCAATCATATGTACCTATTTACCTTTCAAACCGCGCGCGTAATATCAGATTATGCGGCGTTGCCATATTTTCAAATAGCGTCTCACAAATGCACGTTCTTCACGCTTTACTATTTAATTACTTTTCTCACAAGTACCCTTGGAAGGTTTTGAAGGCGAATATATAATTGTCATTTAATTATCTTTCTACTGTCCAAAGGGCATCAGAACCTATCCTATATTAGCAACGATATGAATGATAATATACAGACAGCTCCGCGGTTTCCCATAAGACGCCATGTTGAATTGGCATGTAAACAAAAACTCAAGGCATGCAAATAATTATGAATATCTCCCTTTATAGGTACCCTCGGGTCACAAAAATTTAGATTTCTTATTTTTATGCATTAATCTACCACCCTGCAAAATATCATAATTTTCTATCCTATATTTCAATTTGCTGTACAACTACCTTAACCCAAACACAGAAATACATAATGTTTTCAACAGTTTTAGCTAGGTTATTGGGGCAGCCTACGATGGACCCTCTGTTCGCCCCGTGACGCGCCTAATGGGGTACCAACTAGGCAGCCTAAGGGGGACCCCATTAACTAAGGTGGCAAACCCATTAAATTTCTGATCGAGGTACTATACAGTAGGGGTTATGGTAAGTATATTAATATCCAACGCCTATGGATCAAAACAATACAAAAAATAATTTTAGCAAATGATATGGAAAAATCATACGCATGAATTATCGCTGCTTTTAAACTCTTTTGATTATTTGTTTCACTCGCATTCGTATTAATCGTGCTATATTAAGCTTAATTTTTTTTCTTAATCTTTACGAGCTCTCAGAATTTTTCCTTTTAATCATTACATTTTCTCACTCATGTTATGTTTAATGTATATTTAAAAAACGAATGAATAAGCATAAACAAATAGAAGATTAATGGAAGCGTGTGTGTGTATGTACGTATACATGTGTACATGCATGTATGTGTCACGTCTCGAAGGAAGGTTGTACAGTACACCTATATATGGCATATATACCTATATATACCACACAACAAACCCTTTCAATAACCTCATTACAATACTGGCCAGGGCCTGCCTAGGCTGCCTGACCAGGGCCTGGTGTTCAGCTACGGCCGTCTAGCGGTCATTTCTTGTCGGGTAGTGGCAGGTGGTAAGGTATAGAGAATATAGAAGGGACTGCGTATATTTGTAATAAGCATAAGCAGTCTAATTTTTAGACCATGGACGAAGAGCTGAGGCCGAAGGATGGTCAAAATTTTAACCAGCCGCCACTTGCACCAGAATTGAGGAACCTTATGATTTGAGGAGATCCAAAATATTTCGGTCATTTTTCATTCTGGTAAAGAGTTATGTGGTAATTATTTCAGTGCTATATGGTCTTTTTTATTAACCAGCCGCGAACTTACACCAATGGATCGAAAATAACTAATTTAGTACCTGAAAGTGCCATTTGTGGCAAGATTAGAATGCATCTTATATCTGAAATTCGACCTCCAAAAATATAAAAATTGTATTCTTGTCTGTAATGTTATCTACAATGACTCATCTATTATCTTAGATGAGTATTATAGATAAGATCGGGTAGGGGGTCTTGTTCACGCCAATCGTGAACTTTTAATTTTCTCTCTTCATTTTCTAATTTTCTTTAGTACAATACGTTAAATGTAATAGTTATATTTCCTGGAATTGTAATAGCTTTATCTTTGCTTTATCATCTAAAAGTAACACTTATCAATTTTATAACTTTCACTTTACATTTATACATACTTTAATTTCAGAACTTATATTTTCTTATCTTATTTCTTTTTCTACTCTGACTCATATAACGACTACAGTGTATATTTGTATAGTTAACTTTCGTTATTCTCTCCGCTATTATTGTAATAAATCAGATACGTCTCAACAAGCAAAGAGCCAACATCAATTGTGCTCTGAGATCCGCTAACCACTATTGTAAATACATACGCTATTAAATAAACGCTATTTAAACTACTACCACTCAACAGTTTATTGATCCTCAGTAATTCCCGAACAATCGATAGTAAGATCCCCGCGTTCTACAAGCATTTTTTGCTTGATCGTGACATGTTTATTTTGTTGAAGGTCGATTCCCGGATATAAGATGCATTCTAATCTTGCCACAAATGGCACTTTCAGGGTGATAATTTTTTATTTTTTATCCAGTGGTGTAAGTTTGCGGCTGGTTAATAAAAAAGACCATATAGCACTACCATAATTACCACATAACTCTTTACCAGAATGAAAAATGACCGAAATATTTTGGATCTCCTCAAATCATAAGGTTCCTCAATTCTGGTGCAAGTGGCGGCTGGTTAAAATTTTGACCATCCTTTGGCCTCAGCTCTTGGTGTATTTGAATGCTATGTCATGAAATCGCATATAATATATACAAAATATACATATATAGCTTTCTTCCACTCACTACACTGTATACATATATAGTAAAACAGACGTACCATTGTACCATAACCGTACTGTAGTAGTACGTACCACACGGCTGTTGTACGTTGTGGTATGTGGGTGTGTGTTCATGTGTGACGTTGCCTTCCTCTTCTTTCTCTGTGTTCTCTCTGTCGTACTAAAGTCGTAAGTACGTAAAAGTGTAGTCATCATCGTCGTAAAAGTTCCAAGTGCATATTCGTCGTCGTCGTCGGTCGTCGTCAACAAAACAGTCTGCAACCTGGGTCCATCATATACGGCAGACGCAAAAACCTATCTTGCCTTCCATAGATCCGTCCCCCTTTAGAGTTTAGAGCCTCAAAAGCTCTATATAAGTACCGTGTAGATTTCTGTTTTCCTGTACGGCTACAGTCTATACAGTATACGCTCTACAGCTGCCACGGTCACATACACAATAAGTATTATCTTTTTCCTTTGCCCATCCTGTCCCCTCCTAATTTTTTATACACGTCTTATTGTCCTATCGTTTTGGAGCAAAAAAGGCTGCTGCTACTGGTGCCGTCTGCCGTGTACATGCAGGGTACACACATATCTACGTAAATACTGAGATAGAGACTGACTGAACTCTGTAGTGTGCTCGTCTACTCGGTGTGCGTGTGCCGTGACGAAGGTAAGTGATGCGCCTCCTTCTGTGCCTATTCCATCGTAAATGTTATCTTAGGTATAGTGTGTAGTTTTTACCCTCTTGCGTTGGGGTATGTACTCACACACCTACCTCGAGGAAAGGCGAGGCTTCCATTTGTGACTATAGCTTCCTGGTGTATTTACTTCGCTTGATGGCACACCTTCCTGTTATCCTTGCGATAGTACGTATTAAATCCAATTATGGTACACCACCTTTTGTACTTCACTGCTGTGCTCTCGTTAGCTCTCTCTTTCTCTCCACGTCCGTCAATCCGTGTCGACGTTTTCTTATCAGTGCCTTTTCGTTTCACCGTTGTTAACTCGTAGTCGAGCTTTTGATTGAGTGAATCTAACAGTGCTCCGTTAAAGTTGTGTCAATTTTTTGTCATATGATGTGGAGAAGAGTATAGTCGTGTGTTTACATTTTGCGTGTGTTAACACTTTTTTGGAGCAAGGACATGGAACATGTGATGAATCATATTATGTTTTACACCCTATTAGACCGAATTGTAAATGACTGCTTGGTACCAACTTAGTAGTTTACTGAATTTATGGGTTACAGGTTGCAGGACTTTGAGGTGAAGAGAAAATTGCTTTGAATGAAATGCTTCGACAGTTGGGAAAGTGCAGTCATGTGTGATTCTTGTAGGAAAGAGTGTAAAAAAAAGGAGGTGTATGTGCGCTGCTCGTGCCTTTTATAATTGCGTGGAACATAGTTCATTGTAATGTTTACTTGGCAAGTTTGTGAGAATCGTGCTATAAAGTGTGGGAATGCTTGAATTTATCAATTGCTCCACTCCTAAAGACAGCGACTGTGTTTCTTTGGTCATACTTTAAATACATGTTTGTCCAGTTCTTGTGTGATCTAACCAGGTATCAAGAATACTGTTATTATTATTACTATCGTTATTACTTATCATCTACCCCGCTAACAGTTGCATGTTTTAATTGTATTTTTCTTCAGTCCATATCCATTTCTTGCAAAATTTTTAACAGCCATAAGTATTTCTGTCAATTGGACTCTCATTAGAACCTTATGACACTTTTTTCATACTGAATTTAAATTTATTGAAGATAATTCACAATGTATCTAACAAGATTTCTTCATTTTAATGTTAATCTTCTTTTTTTTGTCTTATCAGTAAAACTGATCATTAGTATTGAACCTGTTATCATTTCTTTTATCTCATTGAATGTTGTTTAAGGTTTTCAATACTGAGTTTATGTTTTTCCGGTACTAATAAATTTTTGCAGCAAGTTAAAAAAATTTTCACATTATGAAAAATAATAGCTTGTAATTTGTAATTCTTAAATCACAAAATTTACATCATTAATTTAATTTTTTCCGAATCCCATCAAAAAAGGTAAATAACATTATTTTGTATCACTAAAGTTCCCAATTTTTAAAATTATGTTTGTGTATGAGTTGTATTCATTATTTGCACATTTGACAAAGAACTTTTATTTTAAAAAAAGCGGAGGATGCGAAAATATACACGTACTATGTTCATCTGGTAAATAAGACATCTGAATAAGTATTTTTTATGGTAGGTTTAAGCTTAATCTACACTACTATATCAGTGATAATTATATTTAATGTCCATTTTAAAAAATGACTGGAGTACTAAGCCGTTCTACACCTACTATACATTTTTGATAAAATATTTTTTGCTTTGTTTCATTTACTTTTCCTTATATATTAAAAATCAAAGCCTCAGATTTAGAAAAGGCTTCAATACTTATCGTATTTGTTATGAAGTTGTTAATATTAAAATTATTTTACACTCGTGTGTCAAATGTTGTATATGATTGTTCTGTAGTTATCTAAAGGTTTACCAACATAAAGCTTTTTCGAGATTTTTTCCCATTCAACAAAGAGACGGCGCTCAAATCTTTAATAAGTGTTGAGCTTATTAAGTTGTCACAATGTAATACGAAACGCTTATTGAAAGTAAGTGCTTTTATGATTATTTATAAAGTTTTTTCGTATTTTAACGTAACACAATATTATTAAACATCGTCTGACTTTGATCGGTACTACAGTATTACGCGACGAAGTTTCTTTATTCGAGATTTGATTGGTTTGGCTTGATCACATATGGCTCCTTTGGGGGGGGGGGGGTAAATTGTACATGTTATTAACAATCTCAATTAAACTGTATGTATGTGAAATTTTTATTATTAGTTGGAAACACGATTTTACGGAGTTACTGAAATCAAATGACAATTGCTAAAGCACTTGAGAACGAAATAAATTGTGGCCGTCATTGGCAAAATTCCTCTAAAAGCCCATAAGCCACAATGTTAAAGTGACTAGTGGCGCCAGACCTCCCGTCCACCTTCATGCACCCAGCGTATATTCAACATGCCTCCTCCGTTGGTATTCTGGTCCATTTGTTGTTGTTCTTCTTCTTTTTGTTGTTGGTGCTGCCGCATTTGTCCTTTCTTCGGAACTGTCGTATGTTGACGAAGGTATGGTAGTTCCCGTGGATGACGCACCACTTCTTGTTCATTACGTAGATCGAGCTATCTCTGGTAATCCTTGGCTTTTTCGAACCAATTGGCACGTTCGCGATCTATTTGTTGTTGCATCGTTATCAAGTGCTCTCTCTCACGTTCTAGTTCATCCGAAAGTGGTCCATTCCGTGGTAATTGGCGCTCGAAGTCGTTGTCATCGCACTCGAAGTTTTCTTGTTGTTGTTCTTGTTGGTCTCGTTGTTATCGGCGTAACGAAATCCCTTCCTCCATCCGGGGGTGTACAAGTTTATGATTTTATCAAACTCTAATTCTTCCTTGGTCTTCCTAAGCACATCATCTTTCAATTCTTGATAAACCTGGAGCACATCTTTAAGGAAGCTTTCAAATAGAACGATCGCCTCCTTGATTTCTGTCGCGTTGGCATTAACGACAAATTGTTTCAGGTTGCGCAAGTTTTGACTAAATGGAGTCAATTGGAGGTTGACGTTACTTATCGGGGGTGGATTTTTTGCCGAGCTCACAACTCTTGCCCATTGCGTTAGCGTCGCGCTTTCTTTAAGAAAGTATACGGGAATCATGAAGCAGGTGTTCTTTATCGCTTCGAGAATCCAAATCCACATGACATCGGACTTGTCAATACCGCCGACAACATACGCCATCAGGTGTCCTACCATTACGTTTACGGGCTTCTTTAGCGCATCACGTACATCGTAATGCGTCGTTGTACCCAATAGTTGCAGCGGTTTTTGCTCTTTGAAAACGTCTTTTGTGAGGGAACGGTGCAATTTTCTCAACATTTTTAACAAAAACGTTGCTCGATCTCGCGGTGATTCCAACAATTTTTTCCGGGCATCGTCATCCGCAACCACATTGCGGTAGATGAAAGTAGCGCTAAAGTGCGTTCGGCCGTTGACGTTAAAGTTCTTTGAACTTTCTTTCAGGTATGCTAAATTTACGCAAGCGGGTGAAGGTCGTAGCCGAATGACGTTTTCCTTGTTGTCAGGTCGTAGGAGAGTGTTCAAATAGACCGAGTTCTTCTTATCTTGGAAGCTGCAGATGAAAAACATCAGCCTTTTTCCGCGTCATACACGTGAGTCAGAGTGTTTTGATCGAGCAGTAGTTGTGGCTTCTTCACGACATCCTTTACAATTGAAATAAATCGCTGAAATCAAGCAATATTTGATAATTATATATCTTATCGATGCAAAAATCGCGATATGTATTTATTTTGATACTCACCGTCGTCATCGCGTCGACGTGTTTCGACCAATTGTCAATTTACGTGAATGCCTTGTGCAGCGCCAGTTCCCAAAGAATCAACGATAGCTCTACCAGCCCTCGGAACGGCTTCAGCGGCAAGATCATGGGCGACATCGCAGCTGACCAAGTTGAATCGATCAGTCGATCAAGATCTTCCAAAGTATCATACGCTTCAACGATTTCGAACCATATGTCAAGGGCATTGCTGTGGGCATAGACGTGAGATGTTAGTTCGTAAATTCCTTTAACGACTCGTTGCTGGTGTTCTTTGACCTTAGGAGGACCGTAGTCCTTGGAGCCAGACAGCAAAGAATAATTGAAATAACTTTGCTGAACCAAGGCTTTACTCAGAAACATGTGATCTGCTGTTGCGTACGAGTGACCATACAAAACTGTCGGAAACTTGGGACTGTTTCCGAGATGGTCAATGTGTTGTTTGTCCTTGTTATTACAAAGGTTGCACGTCGGCCAAATACGTTTTGCAGCTTATTGTAGTCGAGAACAATGTTCGTACCATGTGGAGCTTGTATCGTCACTCAAAATGAACCTGTATGCAGGTCACCACATTTTCCTTGCCGTGATGTTCTCTCAAGCTGTCTCGTATCACATCAAGCATCATGTCCGGCTTACCCTTCAATCCGTGGCAGGCTTTGTAAACAAACACATCGAGGACGTTCTTAGTCGTGCGCACAAACTCGTGCGTAAAAAAGTCCATACTGCGAGTAAATGCAGCATAATAACTTTCGTGTAACGTAAAAGCGGATAAAGTAGTTATCTTTCATTCTCGTGGCCATTCTTTTGCAGTTTTTCATAATCGATACTTATTATTATTTTCATATGAATAACCTCGTTTCGATAAGCAGTTCCCAAGTAAGTAGTTCTGGGTTCGTGTCCTTCTATTGGTTTCTTTGGTCGATGATCCTCCTCGTTGTTCCAATGTAGGTGTGGTAGCGAGCGTAGTAGCTGATGAGATTGATGATTTCGGCGGTGGTGGTGGTGCTGTTACTAGTCATAGTAGCGCTAGTGGTATCAAACAAAGTTATCTTAATCTGTAATTCAAAAGTACTGACGTGAAAATCAATGATATACATTAAACATTGAGTAAAGTAAGAGCTGCTTTAACGGACGAATCTCATTAGACTTGTCCGTCAGAGCTTCTACTCTCCAATAGACCTGGAAAGCATAAACATTAGTCAACTCGGAAAGGTCGGCGGTTTTTTACTTTTTACCCCACCTTTTGCCACCTCGGTACCTTTCGAGTCAACCGCTCACGTATAACTCTACCTAACCAACTATCTGTTTGGGTTATTGGTTTATATACTTTATTTACATTAGATATAAAATTTTAATGTATTGATAAACTGAAAATATTTTACATTACGTGTCAGCACACTACGGTGCTCCATTCAGTAAATCTTGGGCGAAGACGAGATGGGGCCGTTAGTAACTAATAATTTCAACGATCGTGTATCAAAATTTTGTCATTTCTGAATAATTTTTTGAATTATTGAAGTACGATAAATAGTCTATCGAACTAAAAGATATCTCTATTTTAAAGTTAAAAAAGTTACTTTATATTTTAGATAATTTTTTTATTAATAGTCATTATTCGGTTTTAAAACTTTAGGAACGAAAAAATTTTATTCTCAAAAACGACCATTCTGTTATTTAAACTGATTTCTAGTAAGGCATGGGTGATCCATCAATTTTCTGAATTTAAGGTAATAATAACCTTGACTGTAGGCTATAAAAAACTCATGGGAAGAGTGGAAGTAGACATATTTTAATTTGGGAAATACCAGACACTTAGCACAGGTGTGTGTATTTATATCTGTCATTTGACGTCAGATATTGTTTAATATAAAAAGTGTTACTGATTCAACTGTGTGATTTAAGGTGCGAGTATGAATGTATACATTTACACCTGCCAGTCTAAAACATTAGTGCTTATCGAGAGTCATAGTGCATCTACATTATAAGCACTTGCTTGCGGTGCCCAGGTGTTAAAAATAGGTATTAAGGTACATGTGAAGTGTGTGAGGAACAATGATGTTTAGAATATAAAAACTTCATTCTTTATTGCTTTTTATTTTCAAATTTGAGCTACCACTAAGTTTAAAACGTGTATAATAATAATTTCGTTTGTGTGTCTTATTTTTTTTTTTTTTGTATGTGAGAACGTATTTCTTATCCAATAATCTCAATATCTGCACACACATGCATGCACGCACACATACATACAGTAGAGTTATTCTAATAGACTCCTAGCCTATTAGTGAAGCGTCAGGGTATTGATTGTTCATCGCTTACAATTTCAAATGAAAAATTCATGAAACTCGTAAAAACCGATGCCTTTGAAGAGTAAGTATACGAAATAACATTTTTGTGCTTGCAGCTAATAAAAATTGCGAAATTTGATAACAGGTGTTCTACTGCATGATACTTTCCGTTAGCTGGAATGGTAAAAATAATGTTTACACAACTTTTTTTTGTTTCAATAATATAAATTAAAAATATTGTAATATGGAATTTCCAATAGTTTTCTATTGATCTATTTATTTATTTATTTTTACTGGGTCACCGCGACAACCTCTAGTCACCAGGGTCACTCACTCACCACGTATGTGTGGGGGTGTATCGCCGCACCCAGTTATCAATCACCTAACTGCACCAGTGGTGTATTGGGTCTACTCGCTACTGTGTAGCCTTTTCGCGTACAAGGCTCCATATTTCAGGACGTCCACTCCTCACCTGTTAAACCGGTGATTCCAGCCTGGTACCTGGTATTGGATCCGCGAATCCCTATTCATTCTCTCGGAGCCGATGCAGAGGCTGCGCCCTCTGAATCAGATATTTGACAAAAGTTCTTGCACGTAAACAAAAGTCTCATATCAAGGGGCTGCTTGTGATTGGCAGTCTAGAGAGAGGACGAAGATCATCTCTTGCAGCCTCTTTCAGTGAGTCTGCCAATCGCAAGTAGCTATATGAATGTGTGTATGGATGCTCTAAGCCGTTTGTTTACATGCAAGAACTTTTGTCAAATATCTGATACAGAGGACCTCTGCATCGGCTCAAAGTGAATAGCTCTAACACTGTTTTGAAATTAACCCAGGCCCGTAAACCTGTGGGGCAAGGAAAATACTCAGGAATTACTCTGAAAGAAGATTCCATAGACAAACCCACCCCGAAACAGGTGGGGTTTCATAGCAACTTTTTCCGATGAAAATAGTTTTTGAAAAATCTGCGTTCACCGGAAATCGAACCCATTATCCCTGTAACAGTGTTGTGTCAGTACCAAGCACGCTAACCACTAGCCAACGTCCGCCCACGATCACAAAGTACGACTTTGTGACCTTGGAAAGAAAAACGACGTTCGCACTTTGGGCACAAATATACTAAAAGGGCGAGATTTTTTTACTCTGCACCCACGGCATGAAAACTACTATTTTCGCATTTTTATCGAACTCTGTCTAATGTCTATCCTCCAATTTAACACCACTTCCCTCTAAATATCGAAAGTATGTACACTGGAGGCATTTTAATTCGTTAAGATGAAAATTCTAATATTCGATTCCCATTGGCTAATTTGATCATATAACCTCTCTCATTGATAAATTTTATACTTCTCGCTCAACGAATTAAACTGCCTCCAGTGTACGTGAGATTTTTTTAATTGAAGACTGCAATCAATCTGAGATCTGAGTCCTGATCGGTCCTGGTGAGCTGATTTTTCAACATTAGAGAAGCGTAGATAAGTTTTCAATTTTAAATAATTTGGGGTTACTTCATCATCTTGAAGTTACTGACAAATAGTTCAGGGGATAAGAGCTCAATGAAATGCTAATGCTAAGTTAAAAGCGAGTCATAGCTCAGAATAGAAACATAAAACCTTCACCGTCTCTCGTCAGCAAACGATAAGTTGATTGTTGAGCTTACGTTTCTTATGCTTTCCAGTTATACGTACAAACATGCGTCAAAGAATAAAAAAAATTTTGAAAAAAAAAAAAATGCTTTTAGTCCCAAGAGAGACTTAATCTTCACCAATCAATAAGTGGAATGTAATGTTATATATAGGCTCACGGCTGCTAAAGAGTTGTAGTACTCTTGCAGCTTAATATCATTATGGGCTGCGGCTGCACGTGGGGGTAGTCCGACAGGGAATCCTTACATCAACTCTTCTCCCCGTTCCTCTCAACACCTCTTTCTCTTGTAAATTTTTTACATGTGCACGTCTATAATATAGGTGTGGGTGCGAGTGGGTATGCTTGTGTACACGTGGCCTATTGATTGCATGAAAGGGAGTAAATCGAATGACTATATCGACGTCGTAAGGTAAAAGTTCCAGTACGTGAACACTTTTACCATAAAGTCTTTGTTTTCTCATTTTTATCGAATTTCTGAATTGTCTAACAACAAAACAGTCATTGCGCCATTAAGTTTATATTTTTTCTTATCAAAAGAAAACAAAAAAGTTTTTCTACGTTGCGTATACAATAAATAACTTAACTTTAAATTTTCTTTATCAATGAGCTAGTAGATGAACAGCGTGTTCAGGTATTGGTACCGATACGTATTTTTGACCGAGTACTTGAACATCCCATGTTAATTAAATGGGAGAGTGGTTATGTTAGCTGCCTTCTACTGATTTCGATTTTTATTATGTATTGCAAATAACCAAATCGAAATTTTTTTTTCTAATTTCATTGGTAACATATTATGAAAACTACAACGACTGGCTTGACATACTATTATTATTGATTACCAGTGATTTCAATCGTTTTTATGTGTTCGAGTACTGGGAATAGGTAAAACCTAATGGTACCAGTACCTGAACAGTCTCACAAGCCACCTCATACAAGTTGCACGAATAAATAATTTTTTGTCTCGTTAAGTATAAAGACTTACTGAAATATAAATTTTGTTTTATCTAAAAAACATTTAAAGGATATCAGAAACATTTTTTTTTTTCATCCACTTAAATTGAAAATAGTTTATTTAAGCTGTTCAATCTACTGGTGCAATTTTAGGAAGTATTTACATACTGGTACTTTTACCTTATGTCGTTTCGCTGCCTCGTTCGCTGCGTCATCGGCAATGAACCGGCGGTTCTCAGTATTATTGTTCGCAAAAAATTTTGGCAGTTTTAACTTTTAGTATGAATACGTCACTACTTTTCCTTCTTGGTACGTGAAGGAATATACGTTATTGTTGTCATTAACATCATTTCGAGCATCATTTTGCAAAAAAAATTTTAATCGTAGGGGAACGAAAGGCAGTTGGTACAAGAGTAACCAGTAATACTCAAACTTGCTGGGGGTGAAAGCTTTATTCCCTGGGTTCAGGTGGTTGGGGGGATAATCGAGATAATATAAGCGCCCATGCTGAACTTGTAGTGCAATTCCGGTGCCAAAGCTTGCAAACGACGCCATCAACGTGTATGCATGTACATAACGGACTGTTCAGTGTATATTTGAGGAAATATCCCTAAAGAGTCTAGAGACTCATACGCCAGCTGATAAATGTTGGGATAAACTCAACAAAATTTTCACAACAATGCATAGATCTTCGTGCCACCTGCCCTTCTATCAACGTACTTTAGCCTTACGACTGTCATTCAGTACGGTACATTTGAAATTGTCGGTTTATTTTTTAGGAAATATATTTTTCTCAGCGTCCATCATTGTTTGTCATTCATTGCTTTGTATTAGTTTCACATGCATACATAGCTGGATTAATTAACTGCAATGTCGCGAGCATGCTTATTCTGTAAAAGTTCTCGCTATCTCAATTATACTTTTGTTACACTTACCAATACCACACAAGATTTTATAACAATAGATATTGATAAAGTATAACTGTATAAATGCATGAGTAGGTAGTGTATAGATACGTAATATTGATTTGATGACCGGATAAACATCTTACTACGATCTGTCACTGATGTATGTATACTTAGTATGATTGTACCTGTTCAGCTCATCCAACGAGAGAAAAAAAAATGCGTACAGAGAGATAAGATAGGCCCTCCTTCTCATTCATATACGTTTTGTCATCGGCGATAACAATTTTCATCCATTCCACTCTTTATGTTATATAGTGGAAGCCTCGCTGACCCAACGATAGAAGAAAAAACAATACGTCATGTATCATTAGTTTATTAATGGTTGTTGTGAATTTTTTATTTTACAGATTGGAGGACCGACCGAAGAAGTGACAGTATTGGAAGAAGAATCGAACTCTTTTTTTCGGAAAGTGGCTTGTTGCTGAGTGGCCTGGTGACAAAATAAACCAATAAACGTGAGTAACGGCGAGCCCATGCAGCGTCTGAAGCATGGAAAATTGCCAGTTTTAGTAAATTCTCTGCTACAATACTGCTGACGAAAGCAGTTTTTCTGGTTTTCAATTTTTTTCTTTTTTTTTTATTGATGGTTCGAAATTTGCACGATACACTGTAAATCCAAGCGTGTGAAATTAAACGTTTAAAGCATGTAGATACAATTTTTGTTTTTTATACAATATATCGTGGTGGCTTGGATCAGTATATTACGCACGTAGTGAGCGAGGTTAAGAATATCTTAGATTCCACGTGAATAAACGCACGAGGCGAAGCCGATGGTAGTTAACGTGAAATCTAATGCATTTCTTAACCTCCGAACGTGGTGCGTATTCTCTTTTTCATAAATCCTACACCGAGAGAAGAGATTTTCCTCCCGCTGAAAGATTGTATCAAACCTCCTTAAATAGAAAATTCGTTGCATTTTTGATAATGATTTACATCTTTTTTCGTTACATTAAAAAAAATTGAGTAAAAACGGATTGGTTTCCGAGTGTTGGTTTGTGTCTGGATGAATCACCTTTAAGGAGGTTTATGCGTGAATCGGAAAATGATGTAGCAAAGTGAAACTTGAAAAGTTTGTTGGTTAAGTTATTAGATACTAGTATGAGAAATTTTAGAGTCATTGAAAGACATAATAATAAGTAGTTTTAAAATAGTCTTTCAATGTGAAATCATGGCCATGCGTAGTTTTAACATCGTTAGTCATAAGAACAGTGAAAGTGATAAGCCTGAAACGCTTAACTGCCCAATGATGTGTAAAAAATAAAGTACACCTTAAATATAGGAAAAAATGAAAAGATACTGAATGACGAAGTTATACATTTACGCAGTTGGTTAAGTTGGATCAGTAACTATGCACGTCGGTAGGGAGCAAAAATCGCGTACAACGATAATTACAGAAACAACTACTTTTATTCATATAATACATACATTGAAAAATATTTTTCCATCAGTAAAAGTACGTTAAAAATTATTCATTAAAACAAAAATTATGTTATACTTATGTGTACATTTTGTTTGCTTGTTTTCATTTTTAGTAGAAGCTATATTTTTTTTAAATTAATTTGACGTGGCCGTGTACTGTTCGTATATTAGTTAGCTTTATTTATTCCTAACATTACCGCTATAGTTTTGGTTGATGGTGATTCTGTTCGAGATAGGATATTGAATATATATTTTACCATGTCGGACATTCGAAAAGGTAAAGGGCTCCGAAAACCTCTAAAAATTGATTAAGTGTTTGGGGTATAATACTTATCACGAAATTGGTTTTTACCGCATGGTTTAGATGAATGAACTTTTTTTATTTATTTTTTATTTATCAAATAACCTACGCGACAAGAGTATGATCCTAAGGCGAAAATCAGGGCCTGGCCAGGCAAGCCTTACATCGATGCCAGGGCCTGGTCAGGCTTAAATGTAGAGTTTATTACACGATGTAATGAGTTTTACCTCAGGCTATGATTAAACCCTGGCCAGGGTAAATGTATACATGTGTATGAACATCTCTATACTGAACAGTATGACAGTAAAGTACGGAAGCGCCTATACGCCATCTGTATGCGATGTCGAAAGCACGCATCTTTTCACATAAAAGTTGCGTGGTTGCGAGCAAGCAAGCTAGCATGCATGCACTGCAAGGTACTGCACTGCATAAGCTGTAAAATCCAAAAACTGTTATTGTTAGTCATGGCAAGTTAAAAAATAATAAACTTGGACGTACTATAAACGTTAAATAATACTTAGTCTATTCTAATAATTTAATACGAATATAAACATTAATGAAGTAACTTTAAGGTTTGTAAAAGTCATCATAATTGACCAAGAGGTTATGTTTACAATCAAAATATCAGGTTTTTCTGCCTCTGCTGTCGTGTAATGAATAATTTAAAATTATTAAACTATAAAAAAAGACAAACTTTTTATTCTGGTAAAATATGTACAAATAATAAACTTGGCGTTAAAAAAGTAGAAAACATTTGAGAACATAAAATTAGAAATACATATTAATGTCAATGTACTAAAATAAGTTTATACATAAAATGTTGCATTTGCTTTTTTCAATAGTTTTTACTTACTTTCATTAAAAATTACGTATAAAGTCAGTATCACTACGTGTACTTACCTTACATTTACTTTAATAAAGTTCATATTGGTACTTAATTCAATACTTAACCCAGTATGCTTAACGTTTGTAGTAATACCAAGTATACATTGTTTTCAAGTTTTATAGTACAACATGCATGCATGGCAAGGTACTGCACTGCACCAACTGTAAAATTTAAAAATATTTTTGTTTTGTTTTTAATAATTTTAAATTATTCATTACACGACAGCAAAGGCAGAAAAACCTGATATTTTGATTGTAAATGTAACCTCTTAGTCAATTATGATGACTTTTACAAACCTTAAAGTTACTTAATTAATGTTTATATTCGTATTAAATTATTAAAATAGACTAAGTATTATTTAACGTTTATAGTACGTCTAAGTTTATTATTTTTTAACTTGCCATGACTAACAATAATAGTTTTTGGATTTTACAGCTTATGCAGTGCAGTACCTTGCAGTGCATGCATGCTAGCTTGCTTGCTCGCAACCACGCAACTTTTATGTGAAAAGATGCGTGCTTTCGACATCGCATACAGATGGCGTATAGGCGCTTCCGTAGTAAAGGGTTATGATAAGTATTAGTATATTACGTTACGAGGCCGTAAAGTGCATGGAGAGAACAAACAAAGTATTATTCTAGGTTGACTTGTACACGCAATAATACTACAAAATTTTCAAGCTAATACCAGATGTTTTCATAGTTTATTCGCCAAGCTAACAGCAGTACAAAAAATCCACATTTCTTACAGTATTATTGCAGATGTTTTGGCCACAATTTGCTTGTGAGACATCCAATTAAGCAAGGGACTCTTTCGCCTGATACTGCGAGGTGTGTCACGGAATAATTTTGGTTTACTTGACGAACGATTCTGGTTTAGCTATAGGTATACACAAAGTATATACACACGAGAACAGCATGCATGCTATAGTTATAGTACGATACCTTTGTTGCATGTGAGTGCATATACGCGTGTGTTTATATATATATATACAGCATGATATGTAACAGTGGAATTTCCCGAGAACCGCTTGTAGAGCGATTTTTTCTGACGCGAACCCCGTTGGAATAAATTTTTTAGGGCAAATAGCTTTTAAATAGGAGCCGATTGAAAATACGTTCCAAACTACCCCTAAATGGGGTTGGAAGGCTACAGCGCGCCCGCATGAACTCGCGACGTTGCCACATTGTTATTGGAGCTTAGTCGGTAAGCAGTGAGAACTATATCCATGTGCGCACGCAAGAGCGTCAGCTACTGCTGGTAACTTGAAGGTTGGATGTAAAAATTTTTACCTTAAGGTAAATATTGTCTGCTCCTTAAGTTGTCAGTTGTTTTTCCACGCGCTTACTGTCTTTCTCACTCTCATATTGGACAAAAACATCTTCAAATTTTTATACTCAAGTAATGTTACCTCGAATGAAAGTAAAATACCATATCAGTAGGGATTTTTCCACTCTACACGATAGTATTTTTGCAAAAATAGTCGAGCTCTCGGTCAAAAATATTGTTAGGTATGTCTTGCTTATGTTCCTGGGTATGTCGTCTGTACACGATTTAGAACGAGTCCGTTCATAAATTGCAATAATCAAGTACCCGCCAAGTGCCCGGGAAGTACCCGCCAAGTGCCCTGGAAGTACCTGGCAAGTGTCCGCCAAGTACCCGGAAAGTGCCCGGGAAGTACCCGCCAAGTGCCCGGCAAGTGCCCGCCAACTACCCGCCAAGTGCCCGGGAAGTACCCGCCAAGTGCCCAGGTAGTACCCGGCAAGTGCCCGCCAAGTACCCAGGAAGTACCCTCCAAGTGCCCGGGAAGTACCCGGCAAGTGCCCGCCAAGTACCCGAGGAAGTACCCGGCAAGTGCCGGGGAAGTACCCGCCAAGTGCCCGGGAAGTACCCGGCAAGTGCCCGCCAAGTACCTGGGAAGTGCCCGGGAAGTACCCGCCAAGTACCTAGGTAGTACCCGGCAAGTGCCAGCCAAGTACCCAGGAAGTACCCGCCAAGTACCCGAGGAAGTGCCCGGGAAGGACCCGAGGAAGTGCCTGCCAAGTCCCCGCCTAGTACAATACAGACGGGTATTTCCCGGGTACTTCTCGGGTACTTGGCGGGCACTTGCCGGGTACTTTCCGGGCACTTGGCGGGTACTTGCCGGGTACTTGACGGGTACTTACCGGGTACTTGGCGGGCACTTGCCAGGTACTTCCCGGGCACTTGGCGGGTACTTCCTCGGGTGCTTCCCGGGCACTTCCCGGGTACTTGGCGGGCACTTGCTGGGTACTTTCCGGGCACTTGCCGGGTACTTGGCGGGCACTTGCCGAGTATTTCCTGGGCACTTGGCGGGTAGTTCCCGGGTACTTCCCGGGCACTTTCCGGGTACTTGGCGGGCACTTGCCGAGTACTTCCTGGACACTTGGCGGGTACTTTCCGGGCCTTTGGCGGGTACTTGATTATTGAAATTTATGAATGGACTCGTTCTAAATCATGTACAGACGACATACCCAGGAACATAAGCAAGACATACCTAACAATATTTTTGACTGAGAGCTCGACTATTTTTGCAAAAATACTATCGTGTAGAGTGGAAAAATCCCTTCTGATATTGTATTTTACTTTTATTCGAGGTAACATTACTTGAGTATAAAAATTTAAAGATGTTTTTGTCCAACATGAGAGTGAGAAAGACAGTAAGCGCGTGGATAAACAACTGACAACTTAAGGAGCAGACAATATTTACCTTAAGGTAAAAATTTTTACATCCAACCTTCAAATTACCAGCAGTAGCTGACGCTCTTGCGTGCGCACATGGATATAGTTCTCACTGCTTACCGATTAAGCTCCAATAACAATGTGGCAAC